AAAAAATCTCAACCCTCTCAAAACTTTTTGATCAACCTAATATTTCCTGACTCATCTACTTTTTACAAACAACCCCCCGTCTTCCTACCTCTGATAGTACTCTTATATTCCCCCCAGAATACCGTGATCTTCCCAATGAAACCCTTCCTCACTTCATTACTGCGCTCCTCCTCTCCATACTTTATAGTAGATGTATAATTAATCATCTCCTATAGAGATGTAGAATTCATAAGAGAAGTTATGGTAAATGATGGCTTCTTTAAGATCTCGGAAACGCTGAAGCCCGTTCGGAATCACTTCAAAGTCGGACATAAAGTGGAAGCGATTGATCAGAGGAGTTTTAACGGCAAGACGTGTCCAGCAACAATTGTGGAGGTCACGAAGGTAAGCGTTAACATTTCATTCAGAGCCGAATCACATTCATACGGAGTTTTTATGAGCTGCTGTCGAGCGGTGCGTGCCGTCGTGCATGCATGGGCGATTTCAAGCCCAATACTGGACGTTTGTGCTGCCCCTCAGTTTCTGAGAGTGCATTGAAATTTTCCTCGCGTTCGATTTCCTTTTCATCCTCTCAGCGCGATGTACCCTAGGAGGGAGCAGTCTGCAACTCCACGTTTTGGTGGGTGTACCACCACTCCGGACATTCCATTTTTTGACCTGTGGTTAGTGGTCCGATCGGCCCGTGACTTTCTCTCCCCTTAACAATCGAAGGCCAGTGTTGCGCTGATACAAAATTGCACACTGGCCCGCCTTGAGGCATGTTGGCTTTCTCTCATTGTTAAGTTTTCTTCTCAACACTTGCGCCATCACACCCTACTCTTTCCTATTCTTCTATTTCATTCTAAATCCTCTTTCCCAACCCTCCTTTCTCTCAAACATTTACGTGCGTTGTTCACATTAGTCACTTTCTTTCAGCGACCGTTTCCCTCCCTTTTTCCTTCCTTTTGCCAGGCTCACGTGTTGACGACGTGTGGACGTAGCCCCAAATTCATTCATGCTCTTACCTGTAATAAAGGAGTTTCTACAGTTGATATAGTCGCAGTCAGTCGGCGCGCTTTCAAAAGGGATGGAATGAGCCCATCGCGGTCTTTCCACTATTGCTAGTACAAACCAGCCAGAGGCGAACTCATTCCGCTCTTCCTGACAGCGCCCCGACTGATTGCGATTTTATCAACTAGGCCTTCTTGTCTTTCAACCAAAATACAGAACCCATTCTTCATGAATTTTCCCCATTTCCCTGAAGTCCAAGATTGCACTTCATGAAAACGAAAAATGTGAAAAATAATTGTATTTGGGGGAGCAAGGATAGACTGACTGTTGTCGATTTTTAGACCAGAAGTTGAGTATTTCTGTAAGGTGGCCGAATCAGAATTGGGATGGAAGTTACTGTACACTGTTGTCTGCCGCGGAGAAGAGGGGTGTCAGTGAGGCTGATTGAGCGCATCGCCAGCCTGTTCTCCACCATTTATTGAAATGGGCAAGCGGCAACTATGGTGGAAAACTATTTTTATGGTACGGCCTTTCCGCTTGCCGGAAGAGAAGAAGGAGAAAACAGTTTGGCGCTTTCCCCAACCCATAATCGCTCGACACGCCCCTTCCAGCGAACAAGGCTGTAGATTATTACAAATTGACTAGTGCAATCTCCTGCTGTGTATTATTTATTTCTATTGTTTATCTATTGTAAGATATTATTATTAAGATATTTCATCTATGACAAAATGCTTTTGTAATCTCGCATGGTAAAGCTAAGTGGTTTTAGAGTCAGATTCAAATTCACTTCGATGGCTGGAATAATGGCTACGATATCAAAGAGCCGTACTATACACGATTCGTCATGCCAGTCGGTTGGTCGGCGAAGAATGGAGTAGAAATCAGCCCTCCAAAGGCGGCTGGAAAGAGTAAGTCAGCACAGTCCTATACAATAAAAGTATAATGATGCATGATAGGCAGCTGATAAAGTTTGCATTGAGTGTGCTGATCATGTCTGCAGTTAGTGAAACTTAAGAGCGCGATCGCGGCGGGGAGGGACGTACCACTTGGCAGGGCCTTCTCCTAATCAAAGCCCAGGCTTATTGGGTACAATGTCTTCTCTGCAAGCACGCTCGTTATAGGTTGGGGTTCGCCAGCGGAGTGGGGGTGAAGGGTTGTATTTGTCTTCCGGGGAACTTGTTGACGTTTTTGAGTTTTTATTTTTCTATTTCGAGTGCGCTGTACCTTATTCTCCTACCCGCTCCGCTTGATGGCGGTTTTTTTAAAGAAAAAACTGAAAAAAATTGGGTAAAAGCGGTAGGACGTTGGAACAATCTGCGAAGATGGTAAGTAGGATGGGAAAGGGGTCGTGTGGAGAAGAAGGTGATCGTATTTTGCGAAAATTCCCCCCCCCCCAGTCGTGTAGAGAAGAAGTGATCGTATTTTGCGAAAATTTTCCCCCAACAGTAGGACGTGCCGTGTTTGCAAGTCTATATCTCGGCGGCTCTGGTCGTCTGCGTTCCATGCCTATTCTTTGGTGAGTAATAAGGATGGTTGAGTAGTCTCTCCACCCCATTCAAATTAAGCTGGCGCTAGTGTTGCTAGTGCACAAATGACCTACCTCTATCTGCCGGTCGACGGTTGAATGCTTTCCACTCATTGCCGGTTTTTCGCACCCTTTTCAGAGCGTAAATGTTGAGTGGAGTCACCTCTTCAGTATTTCTAACGGCTTTTATCTCGGTGTACATTTTTGCGCTACAGAAGACTGGTAAAGCTTAGTTCGTATGACCATAATCTGGGCATGTCTATGATCGCTTGATTGCCCTTGTCTTATGAGAGCCATTCGGATGTTACGAGTGTAACAGCGGGTCCTATCAGCGTCCTTGCCTGCAGGCGTTCTGAGAGTAGTACGTATAGAAGTAGTCGATGGTAATGAAATTTACGCCGACGCCTTATTACGTCACGCATTACTGCATGGGATAAGTACATTACTGAGTGGCAACGGATACATTTCTATGCAAAGGGTACACTTTAATGTAGCAATGGATACAGCAAATATTAATTGACGCATGGGACTACTGTAATTCTAGGAGTCCGTTTCTGATGGGGGAAGGACAACTCGTCCAATTCACAGAAAGCTTTTTTGTTTTGCACAGAGTATCTTTAGGTTGAGCGGTGATTTCATGCCTAATTTAGCCTATAAATGACCGTTCCCATGGAAAGGGTAAAGCAAGTGCAATTTCGAATGAAATCGTCTATTTTGCCGGCGAATGGCTTCTGAACGTAGGTCATTAACATGAATCAAACTTAATAGGATCGTGCGTTAGCGCATGCGATGAAGGTCATCTGGCATTTCATGGCATACAGCCGTTTCCGAACAGTCCTTTAATTCTTTCTGAGATTTTGGCATTTTCTCAAGTATGAGTTGTAGATGGTAGAGAAGTCAAAACTGCTTTTGATCCGTTATATTGTGTTGTCTTTGAACCGACACATTTTTTCACAGTAATCTTGTTGTGGTGTGAGGCTGCGCCCACACATTACAAAATTGCCAATTAATGTCGTAGCGACCCATGCTTACCATGACGTAGCAGCCTGTTTTCTGAGCGTTTATGGTTGGAAATATGGTGTGTAGTTGAGCTGGGTCGCGTGGCAGCATTTCTGCACACTTTCCCCTAGCCAATGTTCAAAGTTAGAGAGCAGACGACCAGAGTAGCGGCTGCTGCTGTGCTGTCAATATTACTCCGTGGTTATCACCCCTAGCCTCAGCCCAAATAAGGGACGGGGAGAGGGGCGCTGCCGCGTAGCCCAACCGTACCACTTCAGCATCGGAAATACTACCGGCTCTAGCAATCATATGGGCTACGTTGAGAGTACGTACTCCGTAGCCCACACGATAGCGTACGCAAACTCTCAACGTATGCCAGCTTACGCCATCCTACAGTGCGCTTCGAACGACTAGGAAAGTATGGATGTCGATCTAGCATACGCCAGCGTACGCTGGGATACGTTGGCGTAATGTAGATCCATATCTAAACTTTACTAATCGCTCGAAACGCTGGCGTATGCTGTTATACGCTGGTGAACGCTCGAACGCTAGATCGATGTTCATACACTACTACATTACTGTTCACTCGAAACGCTGCTGTATGCTGCCATACGCTAGATCTATACCTATACTTTCCTAGTCGCTAAAGCTGGCTTACGCTCGAAACGCTTTCGTACGCCGGTGTAGACTGACGCAAACTATGAACGCATTCTATGTAGACCAGGCCGGGTGTGAAGTGCCACTTCCAAATCGCAGCGAGTGCTGCAAAATCGCCGTTGCCAGCGCGGTAGCGTAAGCAGCATTCGCAACAGGACCCAATCCACTCAAGGTAGCAGGTGCTGCGACGTGCCAGCTCTGCGCCTCTCAGGTCCACTAGCTCTCTCGTGTGTGCGACTGTCTAGTCACCTAGCCAGGAAATGCTTTGCGATGCCGTGAATAAGAATTGAGCTCCATACTCAAGCCAAGCCAAAAGAGATAGTGGAAGGTGCTCGGGAAGGCTAAGCCCAGTGTACAGCATCGTGATGTGTGAGGTGATGATGTAGGTACGACCCCCGCCCCCTCCCTCCAAGAGCAGGTGTCAGTAGGACCCCCCCCCCCCACCTAAATG